ATGATAAACTTTACTTTCACAGAAGTCTGTATAGTTTACACTTAGAAGATACAGGCCTATATCAGTGACTGATTTAGTGACACTTGTAGGTTCCCTTTGATAAAAAGCCAAACAGAGGTCCTTTATCTAAAACTTGAACATCTCAGGTGCCTGTTAAGAAATTCATACTGAGGTAGAGGGATTGAATTCTTCCTGCCCTTGACTGTACATATATCACATAAAAAGAGCAGTCTTGTCAAAGGTTGACATATACACTAGTTCACAGTGAACTTTATACTTCCTCTAGGATGAGTAAGGCATTTGGGCAGAGACGATGACGATGACGTTCATTACAATGTCTGGTATTGCTGCTATTTGGTTAACAATATGGGGCAGTGCCGCAGTAGCAATTACAGTGATTTAGGCTAGAATGACTTCAGACATGCTAACATGGAAAATAGGCCATCTTTCTTGGTACAACTCTTCCATATAAGTGTGTGGACTGTCAGATTGAGATAGGCTTATCACAGGTAACAATGTACAATATCTTTTCTCCGAAGTCCATTCCTTGCAGTGTCTAGCTATGTACATACTGTTAACACACAGATATATAAAGTACACTGCCCTGGGATAGCACTCACACTCGCCAATTGAACCAAATGCTAAAACTGACCTAAAATTGGCCTAAACAAAATAGGGTTGATTTGACTTGTTTTTGTCAAATTTAAACCATTTGGAGAAAAAATGATCAGCAAAGTAATGATTTGGTTAAGGGGATAAAATTGCTAGTGCTACCCTAGCTGTGTATATACATGTAACTAGCTTACATTACTTCATCAGACCATCAAAGGAGAAGGGTAATATACAGGGAGGGGGCAATCTGTCTCAGTGTAAACACACACCTACAAATTAACCATATTGGACTTGAGCAGTTACTATTATATATGGCCTTGTTGGATCCCCAATCAGTTATGAACAGCAATATATCCATGATGAAGTACTCGTGGCCATGATGGTTTTACTGCTGATAACATCCTCTCCACCCCTCTTATAAATGATGAATGCCACTGAGGATCTGCTGATAAGCCTTATTTTTATCACGTTTAAATAAGTTTTCCATTTTGTGTAAAATCTTGTGTAAGCCCTGTGCAAATCTTCATTTATTCATATCTTGTGAAAAAGAAAAGGGAACTAGTTTAGCCCCAGTTCTACAATCTAGCACTAGTCAGGAAGAATAGAGTGATTGAATAAATGCGATACAGATGTTATGGAAGGGAAAATTGCTGTCTGATAGGACAAATATGGATTCATCAAAATGTTATTAGTACTAGTTTGTCATAATTACAAATTCAACATGGGACAATGGCACATCAAATTTAACTTGCTGCAGCTAAACAATAATAGCTTACATACCCAGAAAGATTTTGTAAGAAATTAAAAAATAAAAGAGTCACAGGTGGAGGAGGGGGGGATGGGGGGGGGGGATGCTTTTATGAAGTCTTTATGGGCCCAGTCCTCTTGAGTGTGATTGAAGTACGCAGGCTGTTTGTAAGTAATGTGTTTTTGGTATGCTATGGTCTAGTTCATGGGTAATTAAGACGGTGCTTTTATAATGAGACAACAGATTATAGTTGTATGGTGTGTGCACATCAGAATTAATTTAACTCAGAAACAGGCAGATATATGTCATTTGACATCTGAAGATAATATGATTAAATTAGTCCCTATGTGCTTTTATTTATTTATTTTAAAGACATGTTAACATGTAATATTGTGTTGTTGTTATCATTTGTCACATGTTTAATATCAAGCAATAATAAGTGCCCTAAAGCTTTGCTTACAAAATCACTGAGCATGTTTTTTACGCACAGAATGTATTGACCCTTGTTTATTTATTTAACTGGAGGCTCACACAAATGTAAATCTATCTTCCTCTTTTTGAATTAATTTTTTACTTCAAGAAATTTTTAATGCATGAGATCTAGTGTGAGTCTATGTAATTCTGACTTCTACAATGAGATAATTACTTAGTTTGTTGTAACAGATGCTCAGTTCTTTTAAAGATAATGATGGTAGGATTATAATTAATTTTTATATTGATAGGAGGTGTTGAATATAATCAGTATTTATGATAATGTCTATGCTGAGTTTTGGCATACATACAAATGATATGACTGCCAACACCTCTGAATATGATTGACCTTATTGCTTGCTAATACTGTTTGTTTTACAATTATAATTGATGTGTT